TTAATGAAAAAAAAAATCCAAGAACTAGTTTGTCCGATGTGCTTTTGAAAAGTCATTGATTTTGCACGGTGCTTCACCTTTATCTTCGAGTTAACATTTAAATGCGTATAACGGAGGTGTACTGTATATAGGGAATTTAAATCAGTACGTAGATAAGTATTATCCTGAGTGAGTGAGGTAAATAATACCGCCCACGGTTGCCTGGATTTTGTCCAGCAGGTAATCAGCCGAAAACCTGCAGCGCCGAGAGACGGCGCCCTAATGATTCTTGGAGTCCTGGAAAACGTCAAATCTATTCAAAAAGATTTTTCGACTCCTTAATGTACTTAGAGTTTCGGTGTCTCATCACAGAATCATTATAACTTCAGCTGCAATATCCGAAAAAAAACAGTACAGTAACGTTACAGGACAGAACTCCTTTATATTCAGAGCGACTGTCTGGTACTACAGTGAAAAAGAGCAGCGCATTTGTATAATCGTGGTTAAATGTACAGACAAACATGGTAATTCATATAGAGAAGTTTGATGTGGTAGAATCAAGAATATTAATGCATACTGCGACAGAAAGTGAATTCATTAGTGTAAGAAATGATGAGTAATTAGTGTAATTCAAAGGCATACTTCATTTGCACTGAGCAATGTCAACTCAAACTTAAGCCCTAAACCACCGGTGCCGAGTAGTTTTTGGGCTCTGGTGTTTCCTCACATGGAGTCATAGGTTCAAATCCCATGAGAAGACAATGCCGTTGTACTTTTGAGAACATTTTTGCTTGGCACTCCAAGTTGTAAACATTGGTCACAAATCTATAAGAAAAAAATGGCTAATTGTTATCTCTGGGGAAAAAAAAGAATAATCTGATAAGGATGAATTAAGTGTCTTCGCTGTGCAATTCCGGTGAATTTACAGTGAGGTGAGGTCTTGTGGTCATGGAACAGCATGTCACACTCTGCTTGTGAGAAAGTCAGTTTCAGAGCTCAGGAGAGAGTAATACATCAGTGCAAAAGATGTGACAAAGAGACATTAAACCCCAGTGTATGCAGAAGAAGCAGAAAAACACAGCAGATCTGTCATTAATTGCTTAAGATTTGTGAAGTGCAGTGAATACACAACACCTATCTTTAAGGGAGGCTCCCAGACACACTGCATGCAGGTTGCCTTCTCTGTGGGAAAAATAACTACTCTCTGTCAGGGCTGGAAGCAAAGCATCCTTTCTACTTCAGTGTGGTCTAAACCAAAAAGGCAGGGCCGCCTGCTGCAGTACAAAAGATGAGCGCAAATTGTGTTATTTTAGTGAATCTTAGAAACGACTGCTGACAGCCTCTTAATGAAGCCCTCCTCACTCTCCCAATAACTTAATTCACTATTTACTTTCATTACTGGAATTACATTTTCCTAGTAACACAATATGAGTAACATCATATGCCCACTCCGCTACACTAACCCTCTGTAAACAACGTATTGGGTCTCCTCTAAAGTACATATTTGTTTTCAGTTCATTCACTCAGAATTCAATCACTAAAATTGCATGGAATATAAATAGTGTGACAGACAGGCTCTTTGGAATAACTCCCACCCGCCTTTCCAATACACACACACAAACATACTCCAACCTCTTCCCTGTACTCATGGAGGACGTAGAGATATCTAGGTTGTTTTTAACCCTTTGGGGGTTGGAGGTTGATGAAAGGACAAGAGTGGGGATTTTATATCTTTATAACCCATTCATAGGTTTTCCTTGCACACTTACAGATCTTCTGCTAGCTCAATGCCAATTAAAAACTGTCTTTATCTTAAAGGGCTACAAATAGAAATTATTTATTAACCCAGTCTTAATCACTCCTCATTGTTTCTGTGATCGTCTAAATATGTCTGTCTACACAGGCAATTTGTCTATCCCAAGATCCTCAGAACACTCTTATTACAGAGATGTGCTCATCTTTCTGCCACCTGGTTAAACTCTTCCATCCACATTGTGGCTTCAGGACACAATATGTCAGCAAATCAGGCACAACAAACCACATCAGATCGACTGTACAGAGGACCTGAAGAAATGTGCTGAGCACTGTGAAACTCTTTATACTACAAGAAAGCAAACAGAAATTGTTCAGATACTTTTAAGTGAAGCAACATTGTTTGTACATCCAGTGTTTGTTGGTGCACAGCTGGAGGGCAGAAATGTTGTGACCACTGCATATTTTTTTTCACAGGTTCATGAGATCAATTTCATTAACATCACCTCTGAAAGACCCTACAGAATTACCTGCAAACCAGGTACTGCTGCATTTTTGTGTTTTTCTACTGTCCTCTCTCCACTCCTTGGCCTGTGATATCACTGTATGTCATGAACAGCACCCCAGAGCAGGGTCTCACAGAAAAGGCAATGGGCCACAAAACTAAAAAAAAAAACAGTTTTGGAATATTTTCCCTCAAAACAGTACAGAGATGCAGGCTCCATAAGAAGTGGATAAACTTGGACCCTCTACTTTTATAATTATTATTATCAGACATTACACACTTGTGACTTTTTTTCTAGCTTACCCTCCTCTCTATTTTTAAAATGATTTTTCATTCTTGACTCTATTCTTTAATCACCTTTTTAGGACAGGACACTGATTTTAAATCAAAATTAGATACAAAAATAGATACAAAATTCCTTGAAACCAATGTTTTTCTAATAACGCTTAGATTTCTGTCCAATATTTAATGACCTTTTGTCAGGCCCAGAGCTTTTAATTCCCCTGTTGGATTTCTATTTGTCCAGCAATTATGTATTTCTTTTTTGTTTTTCCTTTTGTACTTAGACTGTTTTTTAGCAGCATACCTTTTATCGGGCAAGTTAACAATTGAAATCAATAATACACGAATTAGGAAAAACAAAGAAATATGACTTGGAGCTCATAATCTTTTCCATCATTCTTTGCTTGTGCTAAACATTAATAGATGTCACAAATAACCAGCATTTACACTATTAACAATTTCACGGCAGCACAGCAACCCATCTAATGATTGAGGTGAAATGTCAGTTCTTGTCTGCCATGTTGTCACGCTGAGCCATGTGGCAAGAAGTGTCATTTTCCTACATAAAGCACTTGTCACTGCATGCCTACCACATTCTGTACAAGTTGGACACAAAGAACCTTGTGAGACAAGGAACCTTTGAAAAGTCCATTTCAAAGGTTACGCCTCCAATATTAATCCATGAATAAGTGAGGGTGATTGATGAATAATAAAATCCTCCTAGATCTTCTTCTTCTGACAGCCTTAATAGAGGGAGTTCAAGGAATAACATGTTACTATGGTCAGATGACCATTCTGCTGTACCCCTGTCTACTCAATGGCGTGACAATGTCTGATGGGGGAACACAGAGTTCTATGATTTTCTTTCTTCACTCCTGGAAAGGCCAAAACCAAATGATTTGGGTGTCCAGTTTATCCTGGCCGATCGATTCAGGTGTGACTTGTGGACACAGTGCTAAAATCACAGCAGCAAAGGTGATTCTAACAAATCCCAACATGGGAGCCACCCAAGGAACAGTTTCCTCACTTTGGTAAATCCTTGTAAAAAAGGCATTTTCTAGTGTCAGTTTTATAGCAAACTTGTATCACACCAGCATCATACTTCTGTCAGTTTGGTTCTCTGGCTCTGTTCCCTAAATGGATCTATTCTATTTAAAATTCTGAAATCTCTATTAAATCACTTCTGACTACATCAAAGCCATGACAACTACACTTAACAACTTGGTACAAGTCAAATGAACAGATACCTTTTATAGTCCTCTCTGCTATTACTGCACTCAGAACAAACCCTGTGATTCTCCATCACAGACGGTGCATTGGAAGTGGGGATTGGAGTTTGGCAGCTGGGGGGTCTGGGCCTGACTATGGGGGGCTGGGGGAATGTCACTCTTTTCAATGCTAAATAAGCCCCACAGGAAGAATCCCTGTTCTACATATGTAAGGAATGATGCTGGGAAAAAGAGGAATGTGTTTCTCCAGCATTCCTCCCCCTCCTGCATCAGCCTCATACACACGTCTAACATTCCAGTAGCATATTTTTCCCCGCACAGCACCAGATCAACCTGGAAATCTTCAAGAACCCCCCACCCAGAACTCTGTCAAACTTCCACTAAAGAGCCAAGCGCCCAAACAACTCAGACACCCTTCTCACTCATATTTATTATCCCCTATTCCTTTCAGCCCCTTCTATATGAATGAAATACATTCTTACCCGTCCCTATTGTGGAATAGGGAAAAAAAAACCTCCCATCAGTTTCTTAAGTACTTTCAGATGTTAACGTGCACATTTGCAGCAAAATGCAGTTCACCTGTCTGATCTGACGTGGGACCAAATGCTGTCATTGTATTGCCTTTGTGTACAGAGCCAACCCAGTAGCAGCAGTGATGCTCTTTGGATTGAGAATGATGTCTTAATGGGAATGAATTTCAGAGCTACCATTTTTATGCCATTTTATGAAGTATTACATCATAATTATTTGCATGGCAACGTCAAGACAAATAAAAGGATATGGGAGTTGGAGATTAGTTGAGAAATTATTCTTAAAACGTCTGTATAATACTCATTTTTAAAATGTATATTGTACTAAAAGTGAAACAGTTCATTCATTTGTGTTTTTCAAAGATGGCACTTTTCAACTGTAAAGCACAAAGAGTTATTTAAATCTAAGAGTTTAATAATGATTATTTAAATTGCTCTTAAATTGCACCAATGAATATAACTGAACTTTGGACTTATAAAGCACTTAAATATGTATATGTGATATGATGATGAAATCTGTACACTATGACCAGGTAGCAACTGGAGTCTATCTTCTGTATATTTTACTGGAACCTGAGCTTTTACAATGCGATGAGTTAAATACATGTTTATGATTTTACTATTATAATGAAGAAATATTGCAAACAAGAAAATGATAAATAAAGTCAAGGGATTAAAATCAGGGATTAAAGATAGAAAATCTGAAGTATAATTTAGCCAACAGAGTTTGAAGAAGCAGGTTTATTCACTCTAATACAAAGACAAGGGGATTCAAGTCTGAAGCAAGTTCTTAAGTACTTTACAATGTCTCCACTTCTACAGGCTCTTTTTCATATTGTCTGTGAAATTAATAATCAAAATAGACAACTATATGATGAAATAATTCTACATCTTGTCAACTCTACATTTCTGTGTCAGTGCCCTTCATCTTTATATAGTTTCAATTGGCTGGTCTCTCTATCTTCCAAATAAGGTCAGGAAACATAAAGCATCATACAGCATGTTAGAGAGTAGGCTGTGGATTGTGCTGTTTCACTGGGGAAGTTCTTTTTCTTTAAATGTTATTTTGCTGTAGTAAGAAACCTCAAATTCTTCTCCAAGTGCTGGGGCTCTACACTCATTCAAACTGAGTTTGCAGCTGCCGTCTAGTTTATAAACTAGGTGGCCCATCTTGTTGAGCTCCAGAAGGCCCAAATCACTACCACACTGCTGGAAATGGTGACAGTGCTGCTGCTTCCTACGCTGTCTACAAGCATGGGTGAGGGCTGGATGCATTTCTTTTTCTGGGAAGAAAATGAAATCTGTCCCAGTGATTTTATCAGTGGAACTTTCGCACACGAACATGCTTGTAAGTTGGCTACACAGCCTGTGGTTCTTCCTGTACTGTTTCTTCAGTGTTTCACCAGAACCTGCAAGCTCTCAGTGTGCAGAAATGTTCCTTCCTTCACGCAGCTCCTAAGAAATCACAGAGAGAAAGCCAGCTCCTCTGGGTTAAGAGGGGGTCGGATGTCCAGTTTTTTGGAAGTGCTGTCGTCTCCCACTATTTCCAGGCGCAGGCTGGGGCCCCGGCCCTCAGAGCCACTCTCCACAGAGCTGTCCACAGAGAGACGTAGTGTGCAGCCCCGCGGGAGCAGCTCCTGTTCGTAGGCCGCGGCTAACTGGTTCACCACTCGGCGCTCCACCTGGACAAAGGGAAGAGTTCACCCAAAGTAGAGGAGCGTTTCACACAACCTGCGACAGGGAGCTGCTCACATGTTCTGTAACTGTCCCTTCGTAAACTTCTCAAATGACAACACAAGACGAGCCAAGAGAAGTAACTTTTCTCTTGGAGTGTGTGGGCATGGACACAGGAAAAGTGGAAAAGCACCTACTGCTGTTTAGCTTATATTTTTGGACCCAACAGCCTCAACCATCAGGCATCTCGTACATTATCGGTAACAGGAAACAGGTTCTCAAGGTACTTCTCAAGCTTACAATTTGGAGATTCCTGGAAGTCAAGGCTTGGCAGATATAAACGTTGGCTCTCTAGGTTTTTTAGCAAGATTAACAACCAGCTTGGGAGAACGGACCTGAAGAGCCTGCTTTTGAGTGTGCAGGTCACAAACACTAGGAGCAGAATTGTGTAGACTGAGCACAAACAGCGAGGATCACAGAAACACCATCAGGAATGAGAACCAGTGGGGCTACATCTCTCTGCTGTTTCCAGCACACAGCAGGCTCTTGCTGTACCTCGTGTTTAATGGAGCGGGCTCCGTAGTGCAGGTTGTACCCTCCTGCCAGAAGATCCATCACCTCCTGGTCCCACAGCAGAGTGATGTTGTGTCTCTGTTTGGCCTGTAGAAAGAACAGACACTCAGCACAGAATAAAGGAAAAGGAATGCATTCACTTAACAGATGACCATTTAACAATACTTCCACATATATTTCTTTTGTAAAGTTATTTTATCTTTACATATATATTTAAAATGATAATACATCAGAAATACCAGGAATTACATTACTCTACACATTGAGTACATGTAATAAGCATGCATTGGTTTTAATGTTACTATGAGTAAGTGTGTATAACGATAATAAATCAATTATTTAGTAGTTTATAATGTGCAATGATGAGAATGATGATTTTTTTTTATTAAACGCAATCGGGACAGAAGTGTACACTGTTGCCTTGAGGGAGTTCAGAAGTAGAATTACATAGCTAGTCACATGCCAAAAAAGTGAGTAATGTATCACTTCGAAATTACCAGTATGGGCGTTTTAGTACTACAGAAGATTTCTTTTATATTTACACTTAATAATGGATTGTTAGTATTTATAGATGACTGTATTGTAAAGCACCCAGAGTGTAAATGCTCAGAAGGGAGCTGGTCAGGACGGTCAGTGAGTAAACTGTGGATAGATAGCAAGCCCTGAAAGAAAAGAAGCCTGGCAAAAATTAAGTGAAGTCATGTCATTTGTCAAACTGCTTCATACCACACGGTGTCGTGGGAAGCCGGAGCCTACCCAGCAAGCACCGAGCGCAAGGCAGGGTACACCCTGGACGGGGTGCCAGTCCATCGCAGGGCCAGTGCAAGCCAACTATACATGGGGACAATTTGGAGGCCACAGTAAAGGCCGAGGGGGGAGAATTAACTCCGGGTTAACTCCCTACTCTTATCGAGAAATGCCCGGGGATCTTTAATGACCACTGAGAGTCAGGACCTCAGTTTAACACCTTATCCAAAAGGTGTCCCCACCACTATACTGGGGCATTAGGACCCACACAGACTGCAGGGTGGGCGCCCCCTGCTGGTCCCGCTTACACCTCTTCCAGCAGCAACCATAGCTTCCCAGGTCTCTCATCCAGGTACTGACCAGGCTCAACGCTGCTTAGCTTCAGTGGGTAGCCAGTTGTGAGTTACAGGGTGATATGACTGCTGGCATTAAGTGAAATAATGATTTAATATTTATAAACCCCCCAGCTGTTAAATTCTATAATTTGATTTGGTCAGAGGAGGTAATCTTTCATAGATTTCAATATATTAGTCAGGCAAAAATTCATTGATGCCATAGGAAAGGGTATAATGTCACCAGCACATTGAGAACCACATGACAGTGGTGGCTTGTCCCTGATTCAGGAGCTGACGTGCTTCTGTTCATATCTACTCCCGACACAGACTGTGTAATCATTTTACTTCTGAAACAAATCCTAGGAGCCTCAGAAGAGAAATCACCAGAAATGTTACAAAAGGGCTTAAAAAAGACAACTACAAGACAACAGGATATTGTATTATGTCATTTTGTGAAGTAACAGACAAAATAAAAAGTTTTTCGACTGTCGTCCAACCTGAATCACCCAATTTTTTGCAAAGCCCAGTGTTGGTCAAAGCTAAAACTGGCCATACAGATCTGGCCGGTCTCGTGCCTTCTCCCCTAGTACTGGATTAATTTCAGTTCCTGTGTAGCGCTGGGAATGAGGCTGGCCTGAGAAGAGACATGCTGAGCAGGGCGGGCATGGGTGACAGGCAGCACGGTGATCTGTACAGCAGGAACTGTTACCTTCTTTGCCCAGAAGCTGAGCTCCTTGCTGACCAACTGGATGAGCTCGGAGTGGCAGAAAGGCAGGAAGTAAACAATCTCATTGATCCGACCCAGAAACTCGTCCCGCCTGAAATGTGCCTTGGAACAGAAGGGACAGGAGGCTGTTGAGAGGGTCTAGACCACTGAACCCATGGACTGTATAATACAGCAATACAGGTTACTTTATACTATTTTATATCTTCCCAGAAAACAGCAATATTTAAAAAAATTAAATGCAACTCAAAACAAGCTGGCTATTACGAGGGGATTTTGAAAAATACAACAATATGAATATTATTATATCCACAAGAACCAAAATGAGGAAAACCAAATTCATTTTGAAATGCAACTCACACTCTGGACCCAGGATTTGGTGGGGTAAATGTCAGGACCACAGGCGTGCAAAACTATTCGACCAATCCCTAATCATATGTAATCTTTTCATAAGAAACATCTGTCCAGGCTTTATTCAATCATGGTCTGGCAAATGAGGTGTGATTACCTTCAAAATAGGGCGAATGACATTCTCCTTGAACTGCTTGGATATGGTGATTTTGTCACTTACTTGAACATCATCTGCAGCGAAAAACATTATGAACTGCACAGAAGTATACAAACAGCTACATATCTTAAACAAAAGAACATAAATCTTTTCTATGTTTCTTAGTATCCAGTTATAAGGCATGAATAACACACAAAACCGAAAAGAACTTTAAATAATCACAACCAAATGCCATGCAGAGACAGTGTCTTTCCTCAGGTCTTCTGACAGAAAATGCACACCAGACTGTGCCTTTGCCAGTTTATAGCCCATAACTACAGAAATGCATCTGACCAACAGCTATGATTACATTTTAATTGGTGAACTGAATGAATGCTGTCTGACTTGGGAAAACTAGAGCTGGATCTTAACTGTTCTAATCATTTACTGTAATATCAAAATGTACCATTTCTGGGAACAAAAAAGGTAAATTAAGCCTGGCTATTGTCAGTCTTGTGTATAATTAGATTATTATCGAAAGCCAAAGAAAATTTAGTATCTTATTACTCAATTGACCAAAAGCTTTAGTTAAAAATACGATAGGAAATAACTAGAGTTTTTGTTTTTGCAGTATGGTTCTAATATTGTTATTACGGGTTAAGATCTCACCAAGATTCCCTGCAAGCCTCCTTCGGCTCACTTCCTGGGCTTCACGTCTGAGCTGCAGAGCATGGTGGGCAATCTCATCGCTCGCCACGTTGGATGTCATAATGAAGATAGCGTCTTTGCATTCAATTGTCTTCCCTTTCCCATCGGTCAGCCTTCCCTTTCAGGAAAAACGTACAGAGCGTAGATTTTTTTTATGTGGCTCTGAAGTGTATTAGCACAGTAAAGAGAACACAACCCAAAAACTGAAGGAAAAAAGCAAAAGGACAGAATCAATTGTGAGATATTGGGATTCGGTATCTGTACAACTGGCGTTCAGATGAAGGATAAGCTGTGAGGATGTTTGTAGTGCTCAAGGAATGAATCAGACTTCTTTGATTATGCTGCAGAATGCAGGGCACTCTAAACCACTGTGACCTAGTGAAAAGAACATAACATACATTGTGAGAGAAATTTCTACTTCCAAAATAAGTCAAATGAAATAAGTGACAGGATTCCTATATTTTATGTGAAATCTTGTCTCCTCGTGTGGGCATAGCTGAGGGCACCATAAAACAGCACTGGTGATTTGGCGTCCACGATGCTTCTTCTCTGAGTGCCTCTGATTAGCAGAAAGCCAGGGTACTGTCTGGAGCTCTTGCCGCTTAGCTATCGATTTTCCATTGCCTCAGATTTTTAAGATCTATGCACAACCTTTAAAGGAAGAGGAGGTGATATTAATCCTTCAGATGCTCTGTTATTAAGGAAGCAATCTCCAAGGACAAACGCACGCTAGAGAAACTGGAGACTGGTCTGTCATTTTATGACTGCTCAGAAAAGCCCATCCTCCTCCGCCTTACTATAGTTTTCCATTTTCTCAAATGCAACCCGTGTTTTGCGTGAACCCAGAATAAACTGTGCGCATGACTGAGCAATGAAATTGAACATGCCTTTTTATGATGTGCACCCACTGTATGACATGCATCCAGCACAGTATATAACATACAGTCAAAAAGCAAACAGCAAAACCCAAAGTCTCTGGATGTGCCTCTTGTTCCAGATTTAAAATGACCAGTAATTTAATATTATTATATTAATAATCAGTTTGTGAATGACTTCACTTGAATCTCTTTGTTCAGCTTTATTGGTGCTGAAAGTCCATAAGTGCTCAGCGACTGACGCAACACTTTCTCTGTTGCACCATGTGCTGTGTTTAGGTGCACCACACTGTATCAGCCCAATGAAAAGTGCAGCAGCCTATGAGGCTAATCACACCTCAAAGGAATCTTTAACACACCTGTAAGGCATTCTTACAAACTAGGGAAAAGTCTCATTGCGAATTTAGATTCACAGCCTAACACTAGCTTTTTATAATCTTTTCATCAATGTATAGTATGTTACACATATGTCAACAGTTTTAGAAAAATGAATGCCTATGAATATCTACTCAGACTGGGATAAAATATAAAATGTACTGAACAGGTGAGTTTTCTACCCAAGAGGAAACTGGGAATGATACCTCATCAAAGAGCTGCAGCATGATGGTGAGCACATCAGGATGGGCTTTGTCCACCTCGTCAAACAGCACCACCGCATTGGGACACTGCTTGAGCTGCTTGGTCAGCTGACCACCTTCCTCATGGCCCACATAGCCGGGGGGAGAGCCTATGAACTTGGCCACCTAGGAGGCAGAGAGAGATAAAGGGGGAAAAAAAGATGGAGTCAGCTTCAGGTGGACAACAGTTGTTTGGCACACAAGGTTAGCTGCATATTTAAAAATAAAAGGTAAAAACAGGTTTGTAATGCTACAGAGAAATATGTAATGCTGCTATAGATACATGATTTATTTTCTTTTTCATTCAGGACAAAATATTAGTCTATATTTGGCATGAAAGTTAAGTGTTTTATGACTATAGTCTAAATAATGAGAGAGGTCCAGTAAACACTAGCCAGCAGAAATGGAGAGAAGTTCCAGATTTAGGCAGCTCCACAGAAGTGTTTTTTTTTTAAGTCAATTTTGTCCTTTTACCTCATGTTTCTCTTGAAACTCTGACATGTCCATTCGGATGAAACCCTGAAAATAAAGATGGGATTAAATGCATCAACACCAACAAACACAAGATTTAAAAACTAAAGCTTTTTTTTTTTCAAGGGTGCAAAACGTTTTGAAAATTAACAAACAGGGGAAACTACTTGAGAGCTGAGCAGTGGATAACAATGTGATTCCTATGAAACAATTTTGCCACATGAAAAATGCAGCACATGAAGTTACAATGCCCCTGTAAATTTACAGGTTTAGAATGTTTTGGTATCACATCATGAACTGGGTGTGAAGAGCAGGGTTTCTTAAGATAATCACTCATGCCGGATGGATTTCTGGCTGACACCTGTCCTTCTACTTCTCAGGTACCACAGAAAAACAGAAGTGTGTCAAAAACAGCAGCACATAAAACACCCTGGTAAGCTGTACCTTCTTGACGTCTTTGTGCATGTATCGGGCCACTTGTTTGGCTAGCTCTGTTTTACCTGTGCAGGAGAAAAACAGAAGGAAGCATTTACAGTGTGCTTTAATACCACATTCTGTGTTGTGTTGATGGATGTAGTTCAGGTGTTCTTACAATAACCAGTAACATGTACTGTGAAAGAAATATACAATGTACTGTGTGAATGGGACTGATACTTAAAATGGCTGAACTATCTATTGAACATCTCTCATGATTTCTATTAAGGATGACGATGATGATCATTATTATCATCAGCCAATTTTCGTTAAAACATAGCCTCTAAAACAGGTTAACAAACCATTCATATTTTGGAACACTGATTTGACCACTAAAGCCTGTGCTTTCAGAATAATTTAATTTTAATTTTTACCTTGAACATTAAGTTTAACAGAGGACCTGGACAGTACTCTTGCTCTATTGCCATCTGGTTTATAACAATCCATACAGCTCCCCTGTTTTCTGCATGATTATCCTACATTTACCCATTTAACGGAAGAGATGAATATTAAAAAACATCAATTCTTCAGAGCTGTTCCAAACATCAACACTAAAATTACTACTATAGACACTATTATGACTGCGGAACTTCAGTGTTTTTCCTTCTCTTTCCTGGTCACATGAAATCCAGCTGGTTCACAGCTGACTGGATGTGGCTTTGTTTTCCTCTAGGTGTACAAGCAGAACGAACTCTCTGCCAGCTCCTTCCTCACATATTCACTCAGTACAGTAGATGTAAAATATTCCCTTTATAAATTTTAATATACATATAGGATAAGAGGGGGACTTGTTGCTCAGCTGTTAAATATTCATGTCCTCTGGCAGGCTGCTTGTATGTCGCTGCAGGCTAGAAGAATATGAAAGCCAGGCAATTTCCATAAATTTTCACACTTTATCGTACAAACAAACAACTTAACAGGCAGGGGAAACAATTAACCCCCTGTGGAGGTGTGCAGGTCTTTCTGTCTGCAATATCTGCCTGTCAGCTCCCGTGTTAGCTGTGCATTTTGGGCCGTATTTCTGCAGCAATCTCATCTCAAAGATGAACAACTGTAACTATTCAAAGTCACTGTTTTTTAAACTGGACTAATTTACTCTGGTCGTTATTATGGCGGCCATCGTGGCTCAGACTTGTATATCGTGGAGCCAATGAAAACGAAATACAACACCTGAGTTTGCAAACCTAAAGTGCACAGATAGTCTTGTTGTGCAGGAAGGGAAAAGCAACTGGACTCAATTAGTCTGCCTATTTACTAGGCATTCAGCAAAGCTGGAGACTGGCCAGAACGAACTCCACGATTGTGCACTGGGACCAGTTCCATTGGGTTGAAAGTACAACATAGGCCTTGGCTTCACATGAGGACTCACATATGGATTGACTGCACAATGAATTCATGTGCTGTCGGCTGTTCTGACCTTTTGGTTTGGTGGCACCGATTGTTCCTCTAGAGGCTTTTGTTATGAGAGACACGGTAATTACCAAGAAAGGAGGAAGAGGTTGTAATCAGAAACTGAACATAAATGTAGTGAACACTTAGCGAAAGCCGATTCAAAAAGGGCAGGCATGCGGCCTGTGGACTCTTTTACCAATTCCAGATGAGCCCAGGAAGAGGAAGACAAGGGGATGCTCTTCGTCGTACCAGCCATTTTCCTTCCTCCGAATTGCTGCTGGGAAAAAAGGTGGAAAGAGACAGAGGCTCAGGAACAGGCAGTGGAAAAAAAAAAAAAAGACCTCTGCAAACTGAATACATCAATGACACAGGAGCGCGGATAATTATCGCAGACTCTACACGATGTTCTGACTGCTTTCAGCCTCCACTCTCAGTCATTCGGACCATTAGCCCCGCGTAATTTCATTAGCCATCCCGGCGCTGGAGAAACCAAATCGAGTTAGCATGGATCCAGGAGAGCAGCCCGGGGAAAAGGGTTCGGATAACGCCAGGTTGCCCTGGCAACCAGCTCGAAAAAAAAAGAGAGAGAAAGCAGCGCAGGCCTGCGATGGCAGAGGGCGGGGCGAAACACAAAAACCCAAAAAGAAATAAAATCAGAGGCACTTAGGCATGTGTGGCTGCCAAGAAGGGCTTTATTTATTTATATTTCCTTATTTACTTATTTATTTTAAAGACAAATCGTCTGTTTTGTGTAATGAGAAGTGAAAGGCCGTTTCAGTAGGCCAATATGAGGCATCTTACAAAAGAAATGAACTTAAAAAGCTGTCACATTTCTATATATAAACGGCTCAAAATAACTTTTCACACCGTCTGTGGGCATTAAAATTGCACCAGGAAGATGGGTTCACTCAAAGCTGCCGAGATGGCTCAGTTGTTGATCATGGGATGTGTAGTTTTTTCCCCCTTAAAGATTTTATTAACGTTCTCACAAAAAAGAACGGGACAAACATGTTTCAACGTATATAATAACAACATTAAAGCTCAATAGTGTTCCAGGGCTATTAAGAAAGTACAGCTGAGACCCTCTTGAACTGTTAAAAAATGTCACTGAACAATCCCAACAAATGATGAAGTGTGTGTAGCAAATTGGAAAATTAGTTTTATGCAAGATACATTTTTGCAAAATATGCAGGCAGTTTCAACAATAAATGAAACGTCTTGCTGGACACAAAACTAAATGAATCTTTAAGCTATTTAACTTCGAAACATGGCACCAAAAAGAAACATATGTACACATGAGACTAATGCAGCAAAATGCGTTAGGACAAGAGTTGGTAACAGACAATCTTATGCTGTAAGATTTTATATTCTCGATATGAAAGGATTTTTATTATCCTGAGAAAAAAATCAAAATGACAGAAAGAAGTCATATTAAGTATCTTCACGTTTAGAAACAGGAGATATAGCACTCTGAGCAGACAGCAGGGCACACAACAGCATTTTTTCTGCGTTTTCATTCTGTTATTTGTTATAAAGATAAATCTCTGAATGCTGCGGGCTACTTTCTGTACTGTGGGCAATAATATTTTTTCATAATGTTGCTGAACTGAATGTAACTCTAAGATTTTTATTTATCACACCACAGCAGCACCCAGGGGACCCCAGAATACTTGATTCTAGCAACCTCCTTCAGTAAAATGCAGTGTTGTTGGAGGACAGCTGAATCACAAGATAACCACCCGTGAAACAAGTAATCACCTGCTTTGGGACCTGATTTCTAAAAGAAAGGTATGCCTACACTTCCGGAACTTACCTTTCTGTGTAGAGTCAGTTATGAAGGTAATTCAACTGTGTTGGATACAAAAAGCCCTTATTGGGAATATAGAAGTATTGGAATTCCTACTAAAGATCTTCACACGTGAGTTTCACATACTGTACCCAGTCTTACTCAAGAACCATGAATTACATATGTTTATTCTCAGTTATTTGGTCTAAACTCACATCTCTTTTTATTGTAATCCCAATAAAAATACAGTTCAGAACAGTATTAACATATAACATATCCATTAGATACAGATATGAACAGTAACTAGATTTAATTCTTCCAGAGTGCTTTTAGCTTAATTTCTGTGCTTATTTTTGGTGCTGTCTGTCAGTCACTACAGAAACTGGTTCTGATGCTGGAAATGAGTTCAGCTTGTTTAGCTTCATTGGAGAAAAGGTGTTTTCTACTTTTCAACCTACCAGACCTGCTGTGAGCTTGCTTTAATTTTAAATCACCACTAATCAGGAGGCAGTTTTTACAGGGGCTGTTTAGAGATGTGCTGTTTTGGGGGAAGGGGATGGTTGTGGTTTTATGGTTGGGAAGACCTCTGATACACCCCTCCAAACTGCTGTCTATTCAAACTCAATTTACCTCTCCTGGGGCAAAGGACACTTAATAAAATTACAATAGGATAATGGTCTTCAATAACTTCTAGCCACAGTAAGGTAAATGAAGATCAATCAGCCATTCTTGTCTGCCTTCAAACGGTAAGAAAAAAATCCTCCTTTTACAACGGCTGACATCATAAAAAAAACATTTCTTCTCTCCATAAGAGTAGGTATTCAGAAGACCATATGTGAATAATAGTTCACAGTACTCTCTGTTCTGCTATTGCTGCTGATTTGACTGTTATGTTCCATGTAAAACAAACCTAACAAACTAATTTTGGAAAAGACTCCTGTGGTGGAGTAAAAGCATGTATGGTGGGGATGTTTTAAGAGCTGATTTTTAATTACACATAAAATGTGTTATTACTAATCTTAGCAGAAAAGGGAATCTCAAGAGGATGAATGAAACTGAAGGTGACACAGGGATTAAAACAGCAGTCTCCCAGGCTGGTCCACCAGCTTTCTGGCTTTCCAGGTCTCTCCGATCAGTGGCTAAACTTCCCATTAATCTCGGCTAATTAAGTCAATAACTGGTTCAATGAAGCGAATGAAAACCACAACTGAACTGAAAAGCAGAGGACCACCTTGTTGCTCTCCAGGACCAGTGCGGGAAACACATGAATTAACCGGAAAAGGATGGTATTAATTGGTCCTTTGAAAAACTGGAGTGATTAAGCCTTGCATTGAAGTGTGAAATGGTAGCTGTTTAAAGCTGTCTTAAATAACTTGATGATGGTCTCTAAGCCTTAGACTGGCCTTACAATGCGATCTGAAACTCTTGATACTCAGCACGGCTGTAGATAGAGCAGTAGCGAAGAGATGATGGGGCTGTATTGAGAAAAGTTCGCTGATTAGCAGTGAAGGGGCAGATGAAGAAAAAAGAAAACTCACATGCCAAAACAGTGGTATCTACGTCTTCACTAATAAACCTCCCCTCTGTGTCCAAGTCCCCCACTGCATGCCGGCCATTTCCCAGAGCTTGTAAAAGGTGCTGCTGATCATTTCTCAGACCCGGCTGATATATTCACTGTATTACTTCACAGGAATCAATAAGCTCAGCCTTTATCAGCAAGTGATGTGGCTGAAATTGCTTTCGGACAATTTGCGACAGCAATAACTGCCCATTTGTCAAATCGGTTTCTGTGCCGGCCTCTCCTCTCTCTCATGCACGCTGAGCTTGTTGCTGGGGTTGAATCAGCAGCCAGTTCCTTGGTTCTGACACTGGCGCCCACCCCTGAGACCTCAGCACAGCCCAGTGCAGGACAGAGCTACCGAAGACCAGAGAACATCCCTCACGATCAACATGTAGAGAAAACCCCACACTCCCCGAAGACCAATACACTTTATATGTTGCTACGCAGAAACTACATTTAGGAAGCAAATGCTACAACCACGTTGTGTTCTTCTAAATTTTAGCCCTTGTTTTGTTGTACAAAACTGACTTCCCTTTCTCTCGAGTTACCAAGGGAATATTTATATGAAGGGATCTTTCTGTTAAATTCTCTACTTCTACTACAAAATTCTAAAACCTTAATAAAACCATGTGCCTGCAGCTTCTGCAGTGGTTATTAAATGAAAAATGTATATGCCAAGAACGGATTACAACTCAATCTTTTCAGGAGTAGCAGGCTCTCAGATTCAGCTCTCACAAGCAAGAACTCAAACAAAAAAGAGAACAATTTGATGTTATTTAAAAGAGACTAGGCTTCGCAAATACCTAACTAATGAGTAAGAAGTGAACGTCACAACATGCATGCAGTGTTCCATTAACTCCGCCTTGTTTTATGAAAAAAATCCAACAATATTCTTGGGAACGAATTAAAGGAAACACAAACCATGCATATTGAGCCTAAACGATGAGAAAAAAATTATTAAAATTTTGTGTTTAAGACTCCAAACACGTCAGTTTCACGTTATATGAGAAAAGAGCCGGTTTAATTTATTTCTGCTCTTGCAGTCAACAAAATATACAAGATACCCCCACAGCCCCGTATACAAAGCTGGGCCCTACAGGAATAAGGCAGGTTTCATACACAAGGTAATCGTTCAGTTGAAATCTTCTGACAAAACTATGAGGAAATTAATCTCTCAGCGTTCCTTATGCAGCACCTCATAATATTTATCCTCCCTGACAGTGTGATGAAACTAATGAGAAAGAAGAATAAGTATCAGAGAGGTTTATTCTGCAGAACACCCATGAGGACTAGACCCTGCTTTTAGCCCACCGTTGCTCCCTCTAGCCCCTGACGTCTGATGTCTGTGGTCAATGTCTCTGTGGAAGAGACCATGTTTCCTCAGCCAGGTCCTCAACGAGCACATTAGCTGTGGCCACACATTTCATCACAGAACATGATGCGAGGTCCAAAATGTGGACCTCGGGTCTAGTGTCTTCAAAATGGACAGCGGACGTTCCAAAGGCGATAAAAACAGGGATCTCTGGATTTTTAAATTGGAGAAGGAGAAACGTTGATCATGAAAGCTTGGGAATCCATTCAACTTAATAATAATCATAATTATCCTATGATTGAGAAAAGGAAGTGGTGTACATCTGGCAAGTGAGGCTGCAGAAACTTTTCATTCTTAGCTTTTAGTCTCTTCAGTTGAATAAAGATGAATGTTTTCCTGAAACACATAACGATTAAGAAATTGTTTGGGCCTTGATGCCTACAGTGTAAAAACTTCTGATCGGTAGTGTGACCGAACTCTCATATACAGTATTTCTCTGTATTTGCCCGTAAAGTGAGCACTACGTCCCTAACCAGTGCTACGGGCCGCAGCACTAATATGTAAGATAGAGCTCTTTGGGTAATGAAGCCCTTTGGAAAAGCGGTATAAAGGTCAGCCCTTATCTGCAGGCACAAGGAATCAGCCTCTGTCTCTTTAACTGGGGGACAGAAGAAGGCTAGAGGGAAAGAGGGAGAGAGAGAGAAAGAAAGCGCTTTCTCCCCATAATTCAATTAGAAAGCAGCTCTCAGCCCCAGCACAGCAGCCAGCTGTAATGCACGCAGACACTGCCACCTGTGTCACACTTAGGGAGTACCCATTAATCACAATTAGCCAATTAGCTGGCACAGCCTGCCCAGATCAGCCACTCTCTCCCGGCTGGTGAGTGAAGTCAGTGGTTAACCTTTAAGAACGTTGGCTGGCCACGGAGAATGAAAGAGACAGAGAGAGAAACCGGGGAAGGAAGAGGAATGGAGAGCTGAAGAGGGGTTCAGGAATGAAAGACAAATAGCTTTTGGCAAAGCCGGTTTGCAAATGTGCAAGAGGCTGGCATATTTTTTGATTATGTACATGTCTTTCTATGACTGCATCCTAAAAGGTCACTTCCTCCTAAGTGTTTTAACACATTGGACTGTGGGTCTTGTCCTGAGATATATGACTGGGAAAGGGATCATACTGACCATCATATCCAAGAGAGCACTTGCCAACTTGTCAAGAAGAGTTGAAGTCATTGGACAAATAACGCTGGATAGAAAACAGCGTTCAATCAGTGTGTGGATTGTATCAGTGCCTCCCTGACATGTGTAATTTTTTTTATTTCCCTCATCAGAGCAATGCTCTGCCAAATGCCTGCTGAAGACTTTTCTTTCCATCGCACAGAACAGGGGTTGAACTCAGACGTTACCTCTTGGGGGTGAATTCCTATCTCAGATATACTCATTATCAAGGCTTACCAACAACTGCTGGATAACTCAGGGCTTAGATTTTGAAAAAAATAACCCATGTCAATGTATAAATTTACACACCAAATATAAAACAAGTTTCTCATCCAAAACATTGAACACTAAAAATCAGGTAGGGCAGTGTAGCTAAAATTCGAATGATAAGTGGGGAAAATAAGAACTCTGTAAGAGAAAAATATTAACTGCCAGGATAAACAAATGAGGCTACATAGCTCTGGTAAAAAAATAAAAACGATCATGGATTTCGTTGCTTTGTCTTTAGTTTGATATCTGTCTTTACAGTGTAAGAGCAACACTCTCCCCAGGTTTGAAACTGAAATGACAAAAGGAATATTAAATCAATACTGAGTGTCTGTAGAAACATTTTGTTTCATTTTGTATTGCATACGGCACAATGCAACTACATGCTAGGTTCTTGCAGCGTGTGTAGGGAAATAAAGAACACTGCAGCAGCTTGTTACACCCAGCTTTTTGTAGGGAAAGCCTGAGGCACGTAATAGTTTATCTGACCTGCAGTGTGAGCCTCCAGGCCCTCAGACACAAAAGAAAAAGATGGATGGGAGGTGACAACTGAGAGCCCTGCAACTTGGAGCTTACGGCAGAGCCTGAGGTGGCTCTGTCAGACACACAGAGTAGGCAAGTGGCTCAACGGCCACATGTCCAGCTAACCCGATTGGCTATGTGAAGGCCTGAATCGAGGCCCAGGAGAGGTAGTCCAAATCCACTACCGCTACCAACAAAATGGCACTAATTAATGGGAAGACAGGAAACCATTTGGCGCAAGGCAGCAATGCAGCTTGTATTAAGAACAGAGGGCTACAAAAGTCCGCAGATGGGAAGGCTCGTTGCAGTCAAGCCCTGTTTTATACAGGGTTTCTCATGGCTGAGGCCTGTAAACACAGTGAGCGCGGCTCCTTGACGGTACCTGCGGCAACAGTGTTGATGGCCCCTTCCTGTCCAATGATGTGCTCTCTCAGTCTCCGCTCCAGGGGGAACCGTCTCCGCTCCTCGGCTTCCCGCCGCTGCTGAGCCTCCTGAAACTGTGGGGGGGCGGAGACTGTCAGGGCTGCTACTCACTTCCTCTCCACCGCTCACAATCCCAGCACCTCCAGGGCTGCCCCGGTTTCACATGGACACACAGGCTTCGGGCCTCTGACAACTTAATATAGCCCCAACCTGCTGGAATCATAGGGCTGACAGGAACAGCGGCCTACTTCCGAGAGCTACAGGGCTAGGAAGTGCTAGTTGGGGCCCCTCTGTACGGGTTATAGCACTTGAAAGACAAACAGCCTGGATCTTACAGTTTACAATCTGGAAAGCAATACTACATGTGTTACCGGTGTGAGAGCTGGGAACCAGTACACTGAAGACGAAGAGAAATAGTTCTGCACTCCTCCAGGGGTTTATAACTATTTAGATTACAACTCAAGAATGCCCAAAAGGGTTCTATTCCATTCCTTAATTGGCATCACCTCCTCTAATACACATTATTAAATATAACTCTCAACTCAACATGCTGGGGCAGGACTGTAACCATTTAAATACAGGGAAATGAAAAATAGTGCAGCTCTCTGTTATTCAATAAATACAGCAATGTTTCCATTTTTTTCCAGTTCTCCAGGCCCTTTCTGTTAAGTCAAATGTAAATACAGTAAATAGGATTTTAAGTGCTGCATACCTAATAAATGTGCATTTAATAAACAATATACGGTAGAATGTCAACTCCAATCTGCAACTGTTTGAATCTTTACAGTCTAAAGGAAAGCCATTCTGAAAGTCTTCATGCCACACTTGTGGGACGCAACGCTCAACAAACTTCAGAGAAAACAGCCTAAGAAAACTCCAGCCGTTGATGTTAATCGATAGAAAGCGGTAATTCACAGCCAAAGGACCAGATGCTGTACTCCCACCCATTCCCCTTATTACACTCTGGTCTTGAAAAGCACATCCAGCTCCGCTTCACAATGCCTTGACAGAAACAGGAATCCACGGAAAAGTAAGAAAAATAGCGGAAATAAAGACGAGACCGTCGTCAGCCCTCACTGGCGGCAGACCCTGGTGCAGTTTTCCCTGTTAGGATCCTGGCCCTGACAGAAATAAGACAATAAATTGGCTGGAAATGCAATTTTCTAATGGTGCCATTCGTCTCTCCCTACAAGGACTCATCCATCCAGCCCCCTGCTTCATATGAAGCAATAATGTTTCTGCGCTCGGCCCCAGAGACCTGCTATGGGTAGGAAAGCACAGGCCTGCCTCTCAGCCTCTGTCTATTCACACATCCTGCCTCAGGGGCCCAGAAAACTCGCCGTTTTCTGCCCAACTTTTGAAAGAACAAGGAACGTACCGTAGAGCTGAAACGTGTCAAACGTCGAATTTAACAACTGACTGCTCTCTTGTATCTAGAAGAATGATGCATTTTCTTTTTTTTTTGCTTAAATGTCCTGACTTTTCTTCGTCTATCTCTTACTTTCAGAGTTACTATTTTTTGCGCACTCACATTTTACAATTGATCCTTCCTTAGTTTTATCCACATTTAGCAGATTAACATTTAATCTACTATTTTTTTGTATTAATTGTTAATCAGCTATGAAATTATTCATATTTTGGTTTTCATTTTATTTGATCCTGTGTCTGGTCTATTGTGTCTCTTTCATTTTCTTCTTTCATCCTTTCCTGCAGCTGAAGCAGGTCACTCAGGTCTTTCTATGAACTCGCTGAAGCTTGGAGACAGGTGTGACTGGAGAGCTGGTCCCTCCCTGTTACATTCAGTAATTGTAGGGGATGTTCTGCATCATGAACTTTCCCTTTTAAAAGGAAACTACTATTTTTTAAAAGAAATACCACAGTAGGAATTGTTCTTCTAGGCACTGGGGGGGATTAGTCTAAAACTCCAAAGCCTCTTCACAGGATGTTAACCTGAGGTCTCTCGAAACGTGTCGTCCTGAACACATCCCGGAGCGAAAGGGAATAAAGACGGTGCAAGTTTATAGCCGAAAATATAAATATAATATAGCCATGATGGCACCTTTGAGGTAACTTGGCCATAGACAATCAAGGGACAGAGATAACCTTTTTAGTGAAAAATGTTATCAAATTAAAATCTCTGACAGTCTGTAAGGCACAACTTTCAATCATTTTCTAAATGAAAGGAAAACAGTTTGGTTATCGGCAGGGGTATCAGGAAACCGTTCCACAGCCTGAAGGCCCCAGATACGGCTCTTGATCCTTCAGCTTTTTACGCCGTTTTGGCGAGTAAATTCAGCAGCTGACTTTTACTTCAGTCTGTCAAGATGCCCTCGCTGGTCTTTTCTTCCTGGGCAGCTGCCTGTTCGTGATGTTTCCAGCCTACCTTGCCTTCCCAGTCCTTCAGCAGCTTTGCCATCTCCCCCTCCTTGGCGTAGGCGGGTGGCGTGTGCCCTATCTCATTGGGCAGCAGGGGGTTGGCACCTGACACAAAAGAGAAGAGGTCAGGGGTTAAGAGGGGTCATCTTTGCCAGCGGTTAGGGGTCACAGGGCTACCCTTCTTTTTTCCACCAGCATAGAAAAATGTAGTTTGACCCAGTAGGTGGGAATGAAAGGCATTGTTAATGCTGCAGGCTCAGAGTGCAGAGACCCTGGCGTGTGCCAACAATGGGCAGATTGACCCCCAGTGTATGACAGCCTTATGCTCCTTCTCTGTAGATCATATTGTTCAGTGGGGTTTTGGTGGACACAGTGGCAATAGTTATTGAATGCTTCCTTCATAAGACAAATTAGTTTTTCAGGGTGAAAAGGATGACACGTGCTTGTGTTATACTTTGTCATCGGGGTGTTTAGCACTCTCCATGTCCTGACCCTATCTTTTTAATCTGCGAGCCAGCACAGACTATGCTGCTTAATAATAATAATAATTATAATAATTGCTTACACTTACATAGCGCTTTTCTGGACACTCCACTCAAAGCGCTTTACAGGTAATGGGGACTCCCCTCCTGGATGATGCGACGGCAGCCATAGTGCGCCAGAAGGCTCACCACACATCAGCTATCAGTGGGGAGGAGAGCAGAGTAATGAAGCCAATTCAAAGATGGGGATTATTAGGAGGCCATGATTGGTAAGGGCCAATGGGAAATTTGGCCAGGACGCCGGGTTTACACCCCTACTCTTTTCGAGAAACGCCCTGGGATTTTTAATGACCACAGAGAGTCAGGACCTCGGTTTTACGTCTCATCCGAAGGACGGCACCTGTTTACAGAATAGTGTCCCCGTCGCTATACTGGGGCATTAGGACCCACATAGACCACAGGGTGAGCGCCCCCTGCTGGCCCCACTAAAACCTCTTCCAGCAGCAACTTTAGTTTTTCCCAGGAGGTCTCCCATCCAGGTACTGACCAGGCTCACTGACCAGGCTCACACCTGCTTAGCTTCAGTGGGTTGCCAGTTGTGAGTTGCAGGGTGATATGGCTGCTGGCACAATAATGTCCACAATAGTGTGTTTTTACTTAACTCCATACTTATCCCCCTTAAAATGACTTTTTTGTGATAAGCTCTACTGATTTTGACAACATTTTTTATGTTTTCTTCTCACTTTGACACACTTGGATCTGTTGATCAGTAAACCACCACACCATAGTGCATGCTGTAAGATATCCAGCATCCACACTCTGATGGTATTCAGCAGCAAATGACTAAAGTTATGTATTGGATAATGCGTGAAAAAACATCTATGGCTACAGTGGAACTGAGCAGCATTTATAAGAGGAAGGCTCAAGGAGATACACTGTACATTGCTGATCAGACATTGAGGTGCTCGGCCGTAACCTGGCAACGTCGAACCCGAGTCAACGTGCTGGGCAGGGGGCTGGGGTGATGAGCAGGACTCCCTTGCTGAACGCCGACAGTCAGCAGGTCAAAAGCTGGTGTTCGGCCAGGATCAATCGAACCCCTGACTTTAACAACACCCAGGGCAGCTGGGTGACTAATTGCTGTAATTATTGATACAAACCTGACTTTTTTTTTTCTCCACACGTGGAATCCCAATCGATAACAAACCGGACATAAAAAAAGGAAAAGCAATAAAAAACAAACAGCTCTGCCCCCCCCCCCACCCCATCTCTATATCCGTCAACCTACCCACCTTCTCCTTCCTATTTTTTTTTTCTCTTCCCAACATAACAAATAGCATCATTTGGTCCTTTAATATCAGGGACCTTTGCCCTCTGGCAAAAGTACTTTATAAAGAATCAAGCTCAGCTAATCTCCACCTCCTCTCTAAAACATACACACACACGGAATCATTTTCTACCTCTCAGGCTGCATGCGTTCAGCTCAAAGACAGCTGGGACAGGCCTGTGCTGCCTCCTGGACACTGCCGGTACCTGCTGAGGGCAAAGCTGACCTCTAGGACTGGGGATGGCCTAGGCAATTAGTCACCTCCCACTAGCTGTCTGAGCCTGGGGGCCCAGCTGAGAGTCACCCCAGGCTGGGAGTCTGTAGAAGTGGCACGGTCCAGGGCAAGGAGACCCTGCTGCATGATAAATGGAGGCCGGTGTGGTCACCCCTCTGGAGCCCAGAGAGCAAACCAGAGCAGCAGGTCGCTCACCGGGGAAATAACTCCACCCCCACGCCCCCCCTCCCAGCCTATCGGAAAAAGTTTAGCAACTGACAGCGCTCAATTTTTCAAATTTTATTAAACTTCCCTTTATGACTAAAGATATGTATAGTCTCTGTCGGTCTGCCTGCCTATCCATCTAGCTGACTATCTTTATTGACTGAGAGGAACAAAGATGTATGCGGGCTTTAAAGCTTACTACTGGAAATGAGAACGAGCCGCTGGCGAGGTAGAGCCAGAATTTTGGTGCAGACAAATTATGGGATTTTGATGTAATACCGTAGTTCCCACATTTCAAAAGTGATTGAGCTTAAGACAAACTGATATGCTAACTGGAGGTAAAAAGTAATTTTTTACTGGTTGGTAAATCTGTACTTGTATATCATATGTAACTGCATGGTTGGTGAATGTCTCTAGACCTAAACCTGTATTATTAAACACACTTCTTCTTCCCATGTCATCCAGTAACAATCTCCTCCAGATCAAGAAAGAACAAAATATTATCTCTTCAATCAGCAAAGTGTTCAGATCATGCAAATTAAAGAAAAAACACAATCCTCTGTGGGTACACAACACAGATCATTCTACAGGGGGATTATACATGTCAGTAATCATGCACTCCATACAGTATGTTCCAAACAAAGCATAAACACTTATTTCAGGCATTTTAGTATTTTTCAGGGTGCAGAACTGGATTCCTAACTTTGGAGTTCGCTGATGACACCATCACGATTGCACAATCAGAACTGTATGTTCTTCAGTGAGCTCAAAGTACCATTTACTGTACCTGTAACTGATAAACTGATAAACTAGTAAATACAGATTCACTAGATGTTTAAATGATTCTGCAGACATGGTCTAGATAAATAAGACTTTTGTATATTTGCATAGTAATGTCACTCTACAAACCTCAGACAGAAAGAGGAACAGAAATTGAGTTGAATGTGAAACTGAGTTGAAAGCTGAACGTGTGCAGTATATCTGAATATATTTAAAACACAACCACAAATGAATTGTAGAGATTCATAAGTATGAACAGACATATTGCACTAAAAAAACCATGATGGCAACATGTTTTATTTAAGAAGATTGTTTTGATTTCCAGTAAATCTTTTTTTTCACATTAAAGAAAATGTCTAATTGTACTGGAGCTGTAGTTGCAGCCCTGTCTCCATTTTACATTTTCATGGTAGTTTGTTTTTTTTTTCTTCATGTGAAACCCTCCTATTGGCTGGTTTTAAAAAACAGAGTTAGAAGTTGAGATACAAAACTTGACAATTGCCTCAATGCCCTGTCATCCAACACCTCTGCCATACTCCTGCAGCTCATTCCCCTGCAGTAATGGGGTGAAAAGCAGTAAACTTCAAATTCGAGGCGAACCTACTCTTATCCTTCCATAAAAGTGCTCATTCCTCTGCAACATTCTGTCGGTTTTCCACAGTTTGACTGTAGAAAAGGTCCAATGGTGCTCAAGCTGTACTGTACATTCCATATTCCATATTAACATTAAAAACATGCTTTGTGAGTTCACATCATGCTCAAAAAACACACGATAATACTAGTTTTGTCTAAAGTACCGCCTTAAAAACTGAAAAAAAATCTCTGGGTATTCAAAGAGACACAGGAGGAATAAATCCCTGGATTATATATTATGTTTGTGTACAATTGAGCCAGAGAACCACAGAGTGATTATTTATTGGGCTGATGTATGCTCTTAATAACATGGGCTGACGCTATGCTGTCTGCAGTAAAATGCGAATATTTCAAAGCACTGTTTTATGTAATGACTTTCCCTTTTAATGGGATTGCTGCATGTAAATAAGGTTTTTTTATGATTTTTTTATCCTTTATTTTAGAAAATGTATCTGTTGCCAGAGATGTATTATGAGATTGCAAGCAACATGTTTACTCATTATACAGAAGACTAAGACTCTTGTTTTTTCCTCTTCAATGGCAAATCATCCTAAATTAAGATAGACTTGATAGACAGACATGTCCCATTCTCTTTTATGGGATTTTTTGCTCTGTTAGATATTCTCCAAGGTTTTCCAGAATGTAACTTGGCTCCTGTGATGATCATGGAAGCCCAAGCACTGGTGATCAATAGCTGTTCTATGAAATTAGATACTTGAGAGAACTACTGTCCTCATCTCTGGACTAATCCCTAAAATAAAGCATAATGTTTGTGCTCTCTCTGTTCCTTGTTGTTGAACACTGAACAAAGTAAGAAGAGATCAAACAGATGAGAAAGTAGGTTGCTGCTGTAATTGGTATTGGTGGACCAGTAGGTGGTGCTATTCCCTCTGAAGCTGAATTTCCAAACCAGTGTCTGGTGAGACATTAAACGTTATGGTCCTGGGCATTCAGATCACATGGCACTCTTTAGAAGAGTAGGGGTGTTAACGGTGGTATGGTCTTGACCTGTATGGCTATACCTGTATTCTTATAAATATTGACCAATTCAACTGATGAAGCAATTTCTCACTTCTCCACCAGATCTGCTGTGTAATGGCGCTCTAAATGCATAAAGGCAGCCGTGCATCACCCAGGTATGTGCTACACTTCACTGATGGATAAAGTTGAACCCCTCCTGTGTAAAGTACACTGTGACCCCTTTGGAGGAAAAGCTACATACTGTAAATGTGCACCTACAGTATTTTCAATAACTGCTTACGTCAGGGGTGTGAAAGACATGGTCTGTGGGCTGGGTCTGACCTGCTAAGTCCATTCATTTGGCCAATTTAACTGGTGCAGTCAGAGCCTCAGTTACTGTAGGATTCATCTTGCATCTTGCCTGGGCTGCATAGCCCACACATAAAGCAGGCATACCCACTCCCTGTGTTTCCCTGCCTCTGTCCAATCACAGACAGTGAACAATCACACAGCTAGTTTGACAGGAGTGTATCCCTTAGTCCTGAAAAATAGGGGGAAGAAATTAAATGCCATAAGACCTGGACACACAGTCCCCTATACTCGTCATGGGTCGTGGCCCTTTAAACAACACAATGGCACTGATTGGAGCAGGGCCTTCACAGGATCTTCTTCTTCCTGTATGTCACAGGCACTGTAACCTAATGGAGACACTAAACCGAGTGAGTATAAAACAGACAGTAGTGGGTTTTTCAAGTGATCAAATAAAGGTGTAAAAAAAAAATAAGTAAAATAAACGGACATTTCAGCAGACATGCTAACTTACTACTGTACATGAAGTTCATTTAACATGTTATATAATGACAATAGTGCCAAATTTACAAAATATTTATAACTGAGGCACATGCATTAGATACAGAGTGGAAACACATCTTCAGTTTTACATCTGTCATCAAAGGAATGAGACACCGCTCATGCTGTTTAAACAAGCAATATCTTGACCTCAGCTGTAAAACACCACGTCCACTTCCAGGGGAGCCCAAGTAAAGCTGTTACATCAATTTATCTGTCTAGCTTTTACTAGGTCTTAATTAGACCAATTTAATTCTGACAGCGACTTGATGTAGAGCCTGACAACATTCATATCTTCATCAAATTCTCGCTCTCCGAAGCAAATGAACCCCCCCCGCACCCACCAGCCTTGCAAAATATCCTCCACAGCTACCCTTTCCTTTGGCTGTACAAGGAGGTTCTGACATGGGGTCAAATGTCACACAGGGCAGGCCCACTGCGGGGTGAGGGGTCAACTACCGCCAGGCACGCGCAGGCCCGGCCGTAAACACTGATTAAGGTCACTTGTTTAAGAAGCATGTGCTGCCGGATAGGGAGAGACACTAACAGAGAGAGTGGTAAGTGGAGAGCCTGGAGGGGAAATGGAATCCTATCAATGGCAGGTGTGACCGGCATGAGACTGCTGCCGGAAGAAACAAAAAAGCACCGTTATGGAAAGCTATATAACGTCAGGATGCTTCCTGACACAAAGGATTCCAGGAGTTCGGGCAACATGATTGAGAAAACAATACTCCGAAAAAAATCACAATACTTGATTTCTTCAAGCACTGCTGAATTTGCAGTATTTTACGCAGCAACTTGCTCCAAAAGTTTGATTTTTTTTCTTTCAAAAAATCCCCCACACTTTTCAGGACAGAGAGTAACACCCTTTAGAGAACTTGAGTAAATTCCAACGTTTGCCTCTTTTCAAACAAAGAATGTTGGAATATTTCTTTACAGAAATCTCCAGAAGTGTCACCTACTGGTGTTTTCCCCCCACATACAATACAATTAATTAAAAGGTCAAGAATAAACCTAAAAAAATGAAGTCATCCAGTTTTCAAATACCCTCTGTATTTGGTAGCATGCCATGTATATGCCGGTGTATATGAAAACTATAAATAAAATTTTTATCAGGCCCAGTTTTGGAGAGCACTCAAAAAAATGCTGAAGATTTCAAACTGCGATGAAACTAAGCAAATAAACTTTCGAATACGATTAAAAACAAAATATATAGCATTATTTTCACATACCTCCTGTTGTATTAATGAAGCCAGGTTTTTTAAAAAATGCAGAAAAAACTATGCCATTAGGTAACTCTGAAATTAAAAGGGCACCTACCAGTGAATGGGAAAAGGAGAATATTGCCTTTGTTTGATATTGATTTTTGTATTGTCTTGATATTATTTTATAGGAAAAATCGACAGATATGATATTTCTAAAAGTGGTTTATTAAATTGGTTCATATCATAATCTATAATAAAAATAAATAAATCTCAGTCCATCCACTAGATATTATCAACAAAGAATTCCAATACTTCTAGCAAACCTCCCTATTTTATCCTAAAAAGCTTTGGAAGCTTATCAGGAATGGTCAGAGGACATGCATGGTGACAAAAAAAAACGACGTTGCAGAAAGAAGGTGGGCTACAACCAAGATGAAAAACTATTATACTGTAGGTGCCTCATGGCAGAAACTGGCCATTTTAAGATGACAAAAACTAGATCCTTAATTGCAGGGCCAGTATTTAAAGCCAGGGTGGTTATGTAGAGCTGCTATGTTGATCTATGCTGACTTTCTGCCAAAAATGGCCTTTATCACTCTTGGTGTTTTACGTGCCTTATCATGCTACAGTTCACAAGAACGGGTGTTCAGTGAGGCCTAGTGGAATCGACAGGCATCCTGCTCGTTACTCTGCAAATTCAACCTACTCAACAGAAAAAGGCCTAGAGAACAGGTTTTATGAAGGCTCTTGAAACACTGGTGTCTCAGCTACTATACAGTATGTGCTGAAATACCCAAAGCAGTTTTTTTTATTCTTCTTAAATTCACTGCACTGCCCCCATGTGACGTTCTGCTTTGCTTCAAAAGAAATATGTAGCAAAAACATGAAACTGAATAAACTTTACAGAAACTAAATTTAAACGAAAACCCAAGACCTTGATAACATAAAAATACCATTTAAAAGGATCTGAAAGCTTTTCATTCAATTAAAACCGCTACCACGGCACACAGCATTGAAACTCACTTGAGAAACAAAAAGATGCAAATCTCATTACTCAAGGAACTGGCGGACGCAATATAAATAAATCTTTCAAATGTTTACTGAACACCAGTGTTCAGGACTTAACGCTTCCTGGGAGATGACGAAAGAAGTCAATTGGCGGTAAAGCAGCATCCATAACACAAAAAGAATGACTAGATTTATGTATTTACCAGCAGTGCTACTGAAATTATTGAAGATGGCCAGAGCTATCTAATGAAAATAAAAAAATACTTTGGGCCTACATCTTTTTGCCCTCTCCCTGCCTTTGTTACCTCTGAAACCTAACCCCCTTCTCCTCTCCCCATGTCCTCCTCTCTCCCTTCCACTCTGCTCCAGCACATGAGGTGTTTATTTCACCTCTGAGAGGAGGAATTGATCAGCAAAGAAGGAAGTAAGAGGCGATGCACCTCCAAGGAGCAGCGGCAATCAATTTCACAAATCGCACAAGGGCAGGACTGCTACGCTTTGGGGCAGGTGACGGCCAGGCAATATAAAACACATATTCCAGACAACAGTAACGATTTCAAATCACTCTTCACTGGATATAGATTATTATCTTTTGTTTCTTTTTTCATTGCTCGCTTGCCTTTTTTTTTTCCCTGCGATCCCTGATATATGAAACCTTCTGCAAATAAATTCTTCAGGTAGATCACATGGAGGGCAGTTCATCAAACAGAGGTTTAAAGGGGACTGCAGGTGAAGGGAAGAGAAATGAAAAGATATTTTCACTCTAGAAACGTAACCAGAACACAGCCCCTGCAGGAAGACAGGAACTCAAAATCTCCTAAAAGTCTCCCCCCCTCCCATGTCCGATATCATGTGGAACTGGAAAAAGAATATGAAGTGTACAATATATCAATCATTAACTATGAAGTGGTATTTTACACCAGGTCTATTGGACACAGCAGTGAAATAGGGGAGCAGGACGGTCTTTGAACTGCTTCTCCTGTCCCGTGTGAAGGTGCTCATTCCAAAACCCACCTGCCTCCAGGAGGATCTTTACAGTCCGCAGGTCGTCGGCCAGCACGGCGTAGTGCAGGGCGCTGCAGCCGCGGAAACTGGCGCGGCTATTGAGTCGGCTACTAAACTCGTCCTCACGGGTCACCAGCACTGCCAAACGAGAGAGGGGAGGGGAGAACAGGAAATAAGCTTCCCCTCCATTTGTGTTTGGGCTGGCCCTAGGTGCGTTCACCCCCCTCTTCACTGCTAGCTCTGACCGGAGCCCCCCGAATCCTTGTCCCGCTCGACTCTGGCCTTGAAATAACGGCTTGGCCGCCAGAGAGCGAAGAACAGCTTCACGTACCTATAGCTCAGCCCAAACTCTCCAAACAAGCAAACGAAACAAACAGCCTAAGGTTTGAAGCCTGAAGGGAAATCAGCGTTTTTTTCATAATGTAACGCAACGGGGGCTCAGGCGGGCGCCCTTGCCGCATCTGGTCGGCCCCATCCCGACTGGAGGCTCGAACCCGGGACTTCCGCGTCTCTCTGCAGCGACCCAGCCCCGTGAGCTAAAGAGAGATCTCTCCACAGCCCAGTAGCTGTGGTCCTGCTATCACAGGGAAGGGCGGTGACGTCACCCGCTCTGGTACGCCGGCTCTTACACACACCGCTTGTCGGCCGTAAGCGTTACACTCTCCCCCGCTTAAATCGCCGTCCCCGGCGAAGAGCTATCCCGCCCCGCTTCTGACACCAATGTAACGCAACGGGGGCTCAGGCGGGCGCCCTTGCCGCATCTGGTCGGCCCCATCCCGACTGGAGGCTCGAACCCGGGACTTCCGCGTCTCTCTGCAGCGACCCAGCCCCGTGAGCTAAAGAGAGATCTCTCCACAGCCCAGTAGCTGTGGTCCTGCTATCACAGGGAACGGCGGTGACGTCACCCGCTCTGGTACGCCGGCTCTTACACACACTGCTTGTCGGCCGTAAGCGTTACACTAACATTAAAAGATATTTGTGGTCACTTATCAAAATGGAGCAACAAAGGTGGGAAGATGGAAATGAAGCAGCATGTTCTATCAGACTAAACTAAAAAAAACCATAACCTGGCAGTGCGAATGTTTATTTAAAAAGATGCAAAGCACGCAATGGTCGCAGCCGATACGATTATTAGTAATTTTAAATAGCTTAATTTTAATTATCCTGCGGCGTTACTCAAGCCTTTGATGCACGAGGTGCTCAAAAGCAAGGTTCGCTCCTACTCTTCGAAACAGAGATGGGAGTGAAAAAGGCTGAAATACTTCTCATTACCCCCCATCTCCTCTCAACCCCCCCCCCACCCCCTCCCTTCACCAACTCCGGGTTCCTGACAGGCTAGTCGTCATCTGTAACAAATGTCTGAGAGCTGGATAATCATCGCAAACTCAATAAAACGTCACTGGCAGGACTAGCCCCCATCCATCAGTGCGCGTCTGGGAAATCTCCCCCTCCCAGACCCACCAAAAAACTGCCAACAATATAAATGTCTGTAATATACATATCATATATAAATATGTCTCTGGCTCCTTCTTCTTTCCTGGCATCTTTGCTATTTTTTTTTTATTGTTTGGGATACGGTTATGAAAAATAAATAAACACGGCCAAATGAAACGCATACGAATATGTAAATGGGGCTGAGAAAGTGGAAAAAATCTCCTTGATGTCTGGGACTGAATTTATATATTTAATAAGAACACTCCAGCAAGGCAGAGATGCCGAGATCGAGTGCCGGGAGTTTTTTGTTTAAATATGCTTCTGGCAGCAGGCACTCCATAAAGAGCTCCAAATTTTTGTCACCCGGAAGCTGTGAATGGGTGTTTGCATAATGAATCACTGTGTTTCACAGGGACCAAGGCTGTGACAGGAGACAAATGTTATGTCAGAGAATTAAGACCCTATCTCTTAATGGGTAAAGGGTACAAACTTTCAACTACTGGGGGCCACAACCGAATCAATGTTTCTCAGGAGTCACGGTCAGGTGCTTGTTCCAAGTCACCCTTTCTGCCGGATCTTTGGCCTCCTCAGTGATCTACAATTAAAAGGCTGCCCTACAAGGCCAGTGGTTTTTTAAGCTTAAGAAAAATCCAACACCTCAATAAACTACAATACATTTTTTTTCAGACAGCTGCTTGTTAAAGATATCTTCTTTTACTGTGCAAATGTATTCTAAAATACATTGTGTTGGAGCAACCTTATTTTTTTCTGTGCCGAAACTACACACGTTCTCCATTTTGTCCAGTTTCCCGACGCTTCTCTTTGGCAAAGTAGGAGGAATTACAATTTCTTGTCAGAACCAAGCTTACTGACATTAGCCTCACCACAGCAAAAAAAAACTGATTAAAACGTCCTTCAAATTCCCTTCGCTGCTGTGAAAAGAAGTCCTTCCTCCCACGGATTACCTTCCAGAGAATGGATTCCTTTCTCCCTTGCGGTGTCATAGACGGTGCTGAACTCATCACCCAGGTTTGGATCTGCACCTGCAGCTAACAGCGCCTTCACCACACTGCAGGAGAGAGGCGAAAACATGGAGTGAGGCTCTGGGGATGACAAAGAAGAGCCAACTTTCCAGCCAGAAGAAAAAGGAAGCGAGCCTGGAAAGGAGAAGGATGTGTTTCTGGGAATTGAAAGAGCTGGAAAAACACAGGTCGTGGATGTAAGGTGCTGCTGACCTGAGAGGCAGCCTACAGAACAAAAAGCTGTGAGGTTTGAGTTTGATTCCCGGCTTAGCGGCACAGCTTTTCACCCAAACATGTGGCAAATGTGGTCTTATCATAGATTGATTTTATTTTTAAACCATTAAAAACAAATCTAAGACTACCAAGATATCTTGAGTTCTTAGCTAAAATAAGCACTAGGAACAAAGAACAGTTTGTTAAATGTCCTGTAATGTTTATGTAGGAAAATAATTACAATATGCATACTGAAATATTTTTGGGAATGGGCAGGACCACCCATTAACAGATGAAGGTAGCTGTGGGATGGTCTTAGTATTTTAAATGCCACAAAATAGCATGTCTTTACAATAACCATTTGAGATGTGCAACGTGAAGCTCAATTAAAAATGCCTTGTCACCAAAACGTGCTTTGTTTTTGTAAGATGTGGCTTTGAATTCCTACTACTGTATATGGCTGTTTTGTAACCACCACAGTGTAGCTGCCTCTTTGGAACCAGGCCTTTCTGAAACTCAGAATGATAACATGGAGCTGCCCTTCCCAGTTTCCACAGCGAC